TACTTGTGGTTTTGTTGGGGAGCCGCTCAAGCTCGACTCGAGTTCGGTCAAACTCGAGCTCGAGTGGAGCTTTGGCTCGAGCACTTGCGAGCTACTCGGTTCGTTTGCAGTCCTACTCTGTGTGTGTTGGGGGCCTTTCTAAACTAAACACAACTTTTTCTTTTTTCTCTTCTTTTTGCTTCATTTCCTTCTTCTTTTTTTAATTCAGACAACATACGAACTTCCGATACTGATATGACAAAAAGGAGAACCCGGTACAACAAGGGGACTCTCAACAACTTCAAAGAAGTATTCTTCTCGAACATCCCTCCCTCTGTACACAATTTTAAGCAATAGTTGAAGAAGAAGACGAAATCACAACTGTCAATCACAATTTCACGGTGGAAAATAATAATAATGACATGTCAAGCTCGGAAGAGAAAATCGATATAGATGGGTGATATTCTGCGTAATTTGGAATATGAATATGACGGTATGGAGGAAAATATGAAGCATAGAGAATGGAGTGAGAGTTCTTATTCGGGTCGAACGAGAGCTCAAGGATGCAGATGAAAGATTTGATGCCATAATATTGGAGTTACAGGCTAAACATCTATCTAGTCGAACATGCAGGCTAAATCAGCTTGAAGGCTGATTTATACGAATCGAATCGAAAATTATGTTGATCAGAATAATACACAGGATCATGAGGTGTAATGAGGATGAAATCCTGTTAGAATGAAGAAATGTAGATTTAGTCTAGTGATTTTTCTTCTTTTTCTTTTTAGTTATTATTTTTGCATTTTGTTCTGTTATTACTCTCTTCTTTTTCCTCTGTGACTTTTCCTGTATTTGTTCTCTCTGTTTTTTTTCTTTTACTCCTCAGGCTTTTTTATTTTAGAATTTGTATTGTTATATAAATGAATATTATGTATGTCCCTTAAAAAAGATCTCTAGGTATGATAAAGAGTGTGAAAGGTATAACAAATAAACAGTTTGTAAAGTTAAATAAATGAATATCATATATTTTTCCTAAAAAAAAAAATTCTAGTATGACAAAAGTGTGAAAGGTATAACAAATAAATGCAAGACTATGGCTTGAAGATGAAAATCTTTAAATAAATAAAATGGGAAAATGCTACGGTCCGGTTAGGTAGCATCCCGACGGGTGTTTTAACCGTTGAATTAACGTATAGTTAGATAAGATAGATGATTCAATAATTAGAACACTCGACGGGATGGTACCGTAACGGGACCGCAACATTTTCTAATAAAATATGCCATATTTGTATGAAAATGTCTTTGACCACAAAAATAATTATTTGGTCACCACAAAAAGGCCCAAAAAAAACATGAACCACCAACAATGCAATCACACTAGCCTATAACAACACTCCACGTGTCAAAAACCCATTTAATCCACAGATTTCACTGGGATGAGATTACATTCAAATTCAACTTCACACATAAAACTCCCCAATACCTTATCCTCCATTGCTGCTACTCTCAAAATCTAGCTTCGCAACACAGAAAATATGCTAGCAGAAATGGCTCTGGCAAAGCCCATTTCGAAATTCAACACCTCAATCCCAAGAATCGGAAGCCCGATTGGCCCGCAATGCCGGAATACCCGTTTCGCCGTGAGAATGTCGTCCGCCGCGCCGTCAGCGGCGGCGGTCGGCAAGAATAAGAAGAGCCAGAAGCAGGAAATCAAGGAGACCCTCCTGACGCCGAGGTTCTACACGACGGACTTCGACGAGATGGAGCAGCTCTTCAACGCGGAGATCAACCGGAACCTGAACATGGACGAGTTCGAGGCCTTGCTGCAGGAGTTCAAGACCGATTTCAACCAGACCCATTTCGTGAGGAGCAACGAGTTCAAGGAGGCGGCCGAGAAGATCGAGGGCCCGATGAGGGGCATTTTCGTGGAGTTCCTGGAGAGGTCTTGCACGGCCGAGTTCTCGGGGTTTCTTCTGTACAAGGAGCTGGGGAGGAGGCTAAAGGTATGATTTTTATTTTATATTTGGGAAGTCTTGGTTTTTCTATACATATATATGTACTTCTTTATTGATGTGCTTTTGTGTGTATGCTACTTTTTAGTGAAAAAATGTTGCTGAATTTAGGGGCTGGTTGACGTTTTTATGTGTTCATCTTGTCCTGGTTTGGAAATTATATGTGGGAATTTTGTGATGGGATTAACTATTGCAGGGTCTTGTAGTGTAATCTTGATTAGTAGACATTATATAGACTGTTGATTTATTATTTTATGATTGTGTGTTTTGGGGGGGCTTGAGCTGCAGTAGATCTTGAGAACCTACTCGGCCGAAAGAAATGTTTGAGTTTAGTGATATTTTGATATCCAAAAGGGAGAAAAAAGAAAGAAAACTCATCACTTAGGCTACTAGAGCCTTCTAATTGAATTGAAATCCCTCGATTTAATTTCCTGTCACTATGGTGTGCATAAAATTTTCTCATTGTTGCTTCCTGAAATTTTTCGAATGTATTCCCCTATTGAGATATCATTTGTGTCTGGTATTTGTTGGTCAGATACATGTTTATTTCTCCCTTTAACTTGTTATTACCGATTTGTTTTGTTTGTGCAGAAAACTAACCCTGTGGTTGCTGAGATTTTCTCACTCATGTCTAGAGACGAAGCCCGACATGCTGGGTGAGTTCAAATTTCTTTATTTGCACTCACACACGAATATGGAAATCAAGGGCTTATGAAATGATCAAACTAATTTGTTCAAACAGGTTTTTGAACAAAGGTTTATCAGACTTCAATTTGGCTCTGGACTTGGGATTTCTAACAAAGGCTCGGAAGTACACGTTTTTCAAGCCCAAGTTCATCTTCTACGCAACTTACTTGTCCGAGAAGATTGGGTACTGGAGATACATTACGATTTACAGGCACCTCAAGGAAAACCCCGATTATCAGTGCTATCCGATTTTCAAGTATTTCGAAAACTGGTGCCAGGATGAAAATAGGCATGGGGATTTTTTCTCTGCACTAATGAAGGCGCAGCCACAGTTCCTCAATGATTGGAAGGCGAAGCTGTGGGCCCGTTTTTTCTGCCTCTCGGTACTAATCTACTTCCTAGTGCTAAATTGTCATACTTTAAGGTTATGTTTGGTAAAACTACATGATTCATAAGTTAGCTTATTTTCGAGCTGATAGCTTATAGCTTATGATTTGTAGCGAAAATCTAGCTTATATGATAAAAGTGTTTGATAAAATTAGCTGATAAACTAGTTGAAATAAAATTATCAACGAGTTTATTGAAAAAGCTACTCAAATAAGCTTATGAGATAAGCTCGACTTTTTAAAAAAACTCATCCTACCGAACGAAACTTATTTAAATACAAGAAACTTATAAACTAACCAAATAAACTATAAGCTAGCTTATTTGTTTATCAAATATAGCCTAAATGATTCATTAAGATAATTGTGTCTATTGTGTGTCTCCTTACATATTTGATGACTGAATGCGCTTAGGTTTACGTGACAATGTACCTTAACGACTGCCAAAGAACAGCTTTTTATGAGGGCATTGGCCTTGATACAAAGGAGTTTGACATGCATGTCATCATTGAGGTAGTTTTTTCGAAGTTTTGCACAATATGCTTACTCAAATCTTCTTACATGATGTTAAAAATCCCTTTTTTTTTTTCTTTCTTTCAAAGTTACATTCTTTTTTTCCGTTTAAATTTGTGATTCTTTTTCTCTGCAGACAAACCGAACGACTGCAAGAATATTCCCGGCTGTGCTGGATGTTGAAAACCCGGAATTCAAAAGGAAGTTGGACCGTATGGTGGAGATAAACGAGCAAATACTTGCAATTGGGGAGAGTGATGATATCCCGTTTGTGAAGAACATGAAGAGGATTCCCCTTATTGGGGCTTTAGCTTCTGAGTTGCTTGCTGCGTATCTCATGAAACCCATCGAGTCTGGCTCGGTTGACTTTGCTGAGTTTGAACCGCAGCTCATCTACTAATATTCTCTTTCTCTAGCTGATTCATTTAGTTCTGCAGTGAATTATTGTGTAAAAGTTGTTGGATAAACTGAAGCACATAGGAAAATGTTGTATGAGCTATGAACTGGTGTATTTTTGCAGTTTTGGCAAGTTTTCATTATGTAAATTTAATATTCACATTCCTAACATTGGGTGTTTGTTTATAATTTTTTTTTAATTCATACTCAATCAATTCTCATAACTCAAATTTAGTTTAAACTAGTTCTCTTCAATATTATAAATATAATTAAATAATATTAATCAGTCATTCTTATACATCACATCAATTTTAATTTACTATTCATTCAGTTACATAATTTTTATTTACCACCATCGTTTTTTCATAATTTTATATCAAATCAATTTTAATTATTATAAATTTTTAATTTTATTTTAATATAAACTCAAAATTTCACTAACAACTAACTATATACCACATTTTCCAAATTAACTCTCGTTAACCAAAAAATAAATTCGGAGTGGCAAATTTTGCATCCAAGTTCCAAGCAAGATCGAAGTTATTGTTTGATTTGATGAGGATTTAAATTGTAAATTGTGATTTTTCAAATACTAAAAGTAATTATTTAGTAACAAATTTCAAATTGTAAAAGCTAAGGTTGGTATCAGTTCGACTACTGAAACCGATTATATAGGTAACAACAGAATGTGAAACTGTACCGAACCGAGTTTTCAGTAACCTCTTATCGCAAAAAACCAAAATTCACCAATAATAATGCAACTTAATTAAGTCCAACATTCATCCACCATGTTCCAAACATATGATCAAGTCCAACAACTCAATAATAAACATTCCAACATTCATCCACTAGTAACGTCCAAATTCATCCACCAATAATACCATCTTAATTTTTTAAAAAAAACTTCCTTATGGTGCCGAATCATAACAAGTCGGTAACCAATAATCAGTTGTCGTTATAAATGAGTCGGTGCAATTTGGTCGTTATAAATGATTCGGTGCAATTTAATTTATTTTCTCATCGATTTAATTTGGTTCGGTTCGATTATGTTTTAGTTTTCGGTCAGAAAATGTCATCCCTAGTAAAAACAGTTCTATTAGTTGCCAACCTTCAATATTTTCAATATTACTTTTCTTTTAGTTACTACATTTTTATATATAATTAATTTTCCTTGGTCATTTTTTCTTTCAGATGTCACTCTGTGCACTCGTCCGTTTCTAGGGTAAGGTAAGGTCTCGATCTTTCTCACACACACACACGCACCGAGCGGACTGAAAACAAGCTCTCAATACATTTTCTTGCTTTTCTAATCCCTTGCAGGTTCTACGGATCGAAGCTGGTCGAATTCAATTCTTCATTTTCTGGTACGAAGCTCGTTTTCGTTTCCGATTTGTTTCGTTCATATCATATTCCTGCTCTTGATGTTGAGTTTTGATTTTCTGGATTTTTCTGTACATGGTATGCTTGTAATGTCACCGAATCTTTGTTCTTAGATTGATGATTTTATGTGTGTACGTTTTTGTATGTAAACCTAATACATGGGCTAAATATCGACATAGCTAGAACTGAAGGGTGAATTTCTTTGATGTAAAAATTTGTAGAGTATATGCAGAAAGGTTGAAAATGAATGGTATCGTGAGGAAACCGAGAGTGAACGAACCCTTTGTTTAGTGATTAACAAATTGGGGAAACCGAGAGTGAGCGAACCCTTTTTTCGTGAGGAAACCGAGAGTGAACGAACCCTTTGTTTTATGAATTGAAGATATTAACAAATTGGGGATTAGTGACATGCCATTATTTAGTGAAACAAAAACTAAAGGAAGTTTGAATTTCCCCTTTGTTTTACAACCATTTCTAGCCTCATTTCAAGTGGTTGGCTTCTATCCCACCAAACAAGGAACTGTACACGTTTGCTATTACATTGTACTTGTTGAATTGTGAGGTTATCATTATCCATTTATCCTATTAGTGCTTTTTGTACGATTCCTTGTTTTCTTCCATCTCGATATTAGACTTGCTTACGTTTATAACACCGTATAGAAGATTCTTTCGAGGATCAGGTTTGGGGAAGTCTTTAGATTTGTTAATTTAGTATACTTTTTTTTTTCCTGAAATTTCTTAATTATTGAACTGTCCATCCATATAGCCAAGTGTCATTCACCTGAGCCAAGGCATGTACTATTGTACTATCATAATAGAAAATATCATTTGCATATTTAATATCTCATTTAAAGAATCTTGTTCAGAAAATATGGTTGCCAATATGTATCTTTATTAGTATGCGAATTTTATGATTTTGATTGTGCAATCATGTAACTGTGATGGGGTTAGTTTCTTCTGTTGGGTTTTGATCTTATGTGCAATGATTATTGATAAGAATCCATCGAAGTTCACTCAGAATTCCCTTATGCATTCCGATATCATCAAATAGTTGAATAGACCCAACAGCTTTCTATTAATTCATTTCATTCTTTTGTATTGTCTAATGGGTATATGATGTAGTAACCGGTACTTTAACTGCAGGAACTGTAGGCTATTTTTTTCTCCAGAAGCTAAGATGGCTGGTTCAAGGGTAGCTCATGTCACTCTAAAAGGACCAAGTGTGGTGAAGGAGATACTGATCGGGATCGCGCTTGGAATTGCTGCTGGTAGCGTTTGGAAAATGCACCACTGGAACGAGCAGAGGAAAGTTCGGGAGTTTTACGATTTGCTGGACAAAGGTGAAATCTCCGTGGTTGCTGCCGAGGAATAATTTGCTCCCAATATTTCTCATTTGATGGTTGAACTCTTTTTATTTATACAATGGTGTGATCTGAGTTCAAATTTGTTGGCTTTTTGTGTTGAACATGAGCTCGTTGCGTCTGAAATTTCAGACAAAATAATTTGTATGTGATTTACAAGGTCCACGCTATTATTGTCTCTTGCTATGCTGAAATGTTTGAGAATTTGCACCATTGCTTTTGGTTGTGTATCTTGGTTGAGTTTGCTATTTGGGTTTATTTTATTTTTTTACACGACGTATAACATAACGAAATTGAAAGGTTTAGCGTATAGTCGTATGTTTAGGTGGCTATTATGATTGCAGTTTTTTGTGTTGTATATTTATATACAGGCAAAAGCGTATTTGGATTTGGACATAAGATTGGAATTTGGATGGGTAGACTTAAATCTGGCTTAGACACTCAGGGATATGTTTAAGATTTACATATAGCTACAGCCTACAAAAGCCAGAAATTCTATGGTGCCCAATAGGGCACCATAAGCCATGCCACAATATGAGGTGGCACAATGATGTGGCTTTATTATTTACATCTCTCAATTCCACCTTGACATAAATTAAATGGTAAAAGAAATAAATAAAAAATCTTCAACCAAATCTCTCGTTCTCATAAAAGTGGTGGTTTCACGATCTATACATACAAAACAGACTACCGACAGCACATCTGGCTTCACGATTGGCTTTCGTTTGAGCTTCACGATCCGCTCCTACTCCGTAGACATCTGGCGGCAATCTCAACCCAATCCTCTTGCCGGTGATCTATTCCACCAATACCGACTACGAGAGAAAGGTATTGCTTATAATACGAAAAACATTGATGTCCTGTTATCATGTTATCATCATCATCAGTTGATATGCCGATTCATTGATGATTATATGTGTCTTCGGCTCTATTATATGTCCTGCGATCATATGAATAAATTTGTTTGTGATCATATGAATAAATTTGTTAATTAAAAGTTAATACAAATAAAACTGGGATATAATAAATAAGTACTTAATTTTGCCACAAAAGTACAATGGGTCTATCCATCTAACTTACGAAATTGCAATTTTAGTCATGTTGATTTGATCCAATAGAATTTTTAGTCCTAAGAATTTAACACTTTTGCTATTTGATCCTATGATTTTAAAATTCAACGCATTTTCAATCATTTGGTAATATGAAACAAAACTTAAAATTACAGAAATTTTGAGACTAAAAATGGTCCTAGTTATTCTTCGGGACAGAGTGGAAGAGCTTGGCCTTTCTCAATTGATAAAGTAGGTCATCAATGCGAGGCAATGGGTACTTGTTCTTGATCGTGACCGCATTCAGACTACGGTAATCAACACACATGCGCATTGATC